CATGCTGGCCTAAACAAACTTAGGACATATCCTAATAATTTAAATGAGCATACTGCTGGAGTTGACCTGTCTGGCAAGATCCTGAAATCCAAAAGCAAAAGTGTGTTTTGTTTTGACATCCACATGTAGCTTATCCAGACACCATCCCTGATCCCACAGAAGTAGGGATCTTTCCCACTCTTCCCCTGTCCCCTCCAAGTATGCCATGTCACATGCACTGGAATCTCAGTCCACACGAGGGCAAGACTGAATACTGCTATGGTGCTCTTCTGATTTCATTTTCAAGGTAGTGTATAGACTACCCAGTCACAGACCAGTGAATTGCTGGTCTCCCCACAGTCATATGCAAAACATCATGAAGGAGCTAGGTAGAACACAAACGGATTACCTCAGCTCTGATACACGAGAAACTGCAGTGATAATGCGGTCTTGGAATAGTACAACCATCGTGTATTAATAAAAGCATGACGCACTACGACAGATATATGAGTTTGGCACGTTAGGTGGGAAAGAACATGCCTGCTTCTGATCTAGCTGGCAGGTCGTTTCTTACGTCCTCCAGCACACACGATCCACTGACAAGTATTTTATAAGATATACAATAACAAGCCACAGTTGAGCATTTCTCCACAGACAATATATGTAAATGTTATCATGTGAGATTGAGTTCTTGGAGATGAAAGCGTACAGCCACTGCGTAAATATGATACTAGTCACTATCTCAGATGACTCAAATACACTGTAACAGCTCTAATATCGCTCTGGGTGATAACAGAGGTTACTTTATTCCTGATTCCCAGAACTGACTGTCTCAAAGTCACAGGGGACTTCCAGCTTTCACCCAGCAGCAGCACGATGTAGAAGCAACTCTTGATAATCCCCATTGGGACTTGCCCACCAGGGCGTGTTAGAAGATGTCCCCATTGTTTCTTAAATGGGTAGGGATTTATTTCTATGCTTGTGGGATACTGCAAGCTACAAGAAACTTTTAAACAAAAGCTCCATTATTACCAGGGGGAGTATTTTGAAACCATAAACTATGCAGATCTTCATACATTTGTGGGTGGGTAAGACCAAAAAGTCTATAAACTTCTTGACATGATTGAGTCAATCTGCTTGTGACATGCAGGGAATTTTGTCAAGGTCACTCACTGCTGTCAGCTTCACTAGGTATAGCTTCTACAGTTGTGATGCTATACTTACAAGATAAACATTTCTCTTTCAAATTCTGTTTCCCAACAACTGCAGTTACTACACAATGTCATGATGCTATTTGCCTGCTTGAATCTCCTCTGCTGCAGCAAAAGGAGGACAGCAGCAAGGGAGAAGCCTCATCTCCTTTGGTTCCTCTTTGTTAGCAAGTTAACTTTCTGCGTTTTACTGCCAAAATCAAACTGCTAGAAACTGTCCTTCTTTCTTCTGTACCAGTGCAAGAAAAATTAAAATAGGTTGAAAACAGAAAATCAATTATAATTTTGCAAACTACTCATTCTACATTATATTAGGTAATGGCAAGACCAACAACAGATATTTTTGAACTGTACAGCCTAGCAATAATAATACGAACGGATGATTGACAACCATCTCATAGCACTGTCTATCAAACTGGAGGACTACAGGAGCCTTTTGCAATAAGACTTTAAGCCTTTAATTTTTCAGTTCTCTGGCTCATCTTTTAGCTAAGGAAGTATGTTTTCTTTAAAAGCTGATTGCTTTTCCACAGACCTGTGTGACCTAAGCTTACAGGTTAAAGTTCAGTGTCCACTTGTGTAAATTGTCTGCAAGACTCCAAACTGACAATCGTGCCCCTGACCAGGTCAAGCATGCAGAGTTAGAGGTCATCTTTCCAGAGCAGGGCTATGCCACGCTGCCCAGATAAGGGCAGAAAGTATTTTTAACAATATAAATGTTAAAAATACACATTTAAATGTATTTAAAAGTTCATCCTGTTCTGGAGAACTTCAGACACCTAAATTTGATAGCATTGAAACTTTGTTACAAAATCAAAAGGCTGTACGCTTCCATTGTTTCTCGTGTTTTTTTTTAAATCTAACATCCCAAGGAATTCCCATTTGTGGATGCAGGCAAGAATCCTACCAATGTAGGCTCAAATGCAGGCCGTGGAGAGGAAGTCTGAGCCATACATCATTCGGCAGAACCTGGTCCAAAATTAAAACTTTGTCTACTGATGATAGGTGTGAAGAATTCCTTTCTTCAGTGCTCCACATATTGGATTTTTTATTACTTAAGACACATGATTAGTCTTGTGGGATGGAGATTACATAAAATGCATTACTGCTGGCTACCATGTCACATCTAAGACTCAGTAACAAATACCTGATTTTTTTTGTTCCTTATTTTAAAAAGTCATATTTAAAAAATAATGCAGATTCTCCTTCACTAATTTATTTACAACATTTACTGCTAGTGTAAGCAAAGTAAAACTCCATTCTGACAATGGACTGGGGCAAAGGTATCCTTTCTGCAATGACTTCAAACACCAGTTGGAGATTTCACATAATTTCTTACCGAACATCATCAAAAGACATTTTAGCTAAAAGAGGGTATTGCTGAATATTTCATTCAGCCATGTGCTCAATGTATGCAATGTACATGTAAAAGTTACATACTCTCAAGTTCTCTCTGACCTCTTCAAGATACTTCGAAGAACACACTACAAAATAAATCACAGAAATGGCCTGTTACAGTCCATACAATACACTTACCAGTACGCTGGTACACAAAGCTGGAAAAACTGATCCTGTAGCAGTATTTCAAGGCAAGCACACTATATACAAATTATTAGGTAGGTTGGCATTACTTTCAGACTTCACATAATAATAATCATTATTTCTTTAAACACCTACTCTGGATTATCTTGGATATCTGTTACCTAACAACAGTGGTGTTCCCACAGCCATTTCAGCAGCTCAGCTATGACTGTACACACATCTTTCATAACCTCGTTGGTGGTTTTAATCTACCTCCAACAATTATTGTTCTAATAAATATTTCTTGCAAATGAAAAAAATCGTTGTAGTAATCATGCAATAATATTTTTTTACATTACTATAAAAACACCAAAATAAAGCTTCTGGCTTTTCTGGGATCTTAAACAAGGGCATGAAGTTGTCTTGGAAGAGCAATACCTACCTGCTAAAAAAACATTACAGGTAAACCATCGTTAACCTTTACTGGCTATTGGAACAATGCTTGCTAAGTTCCATGTTTAGCCAGATCAAATTGATACTTGGCACCAATATGATGGTTTTTGTGTTCAAACAGCACGTGGGCATTACTCCTTATACTACTACTGCATCTTGTCCAGTAGTAAAAAACCGTTATATGACAGTGATTATTATTTGTATTAGAGAGTGCAGGCAAGTGCCAGTCATGAAGCTACTGTATGAGGACAAAACAAGCATTCCTGTCTCTGGGAGCTTACAACGGGTGTACAGGAAGGTGACAGATGGATACAGATAGACTGGAGGGTGTAAAGAAACACTGGGACAGTTTTCATTAATGCAATAGGTACAACTCATAGCACACCAGTAGCTTAAAATACTGAACTTGTGTAGACATCAAAGCCAAAGGGTTTTAATGAGGGATGCAGAAGACACCCAGGAGGGAATTTTTCAGAAATCTATGCAACAGGTCTTCGGGAGCAATAGGCAATTGGAAACAGAGCATAAAAATGCTTATTTGGAAATCTAAAATGTGGGGGTGGGGTGTGTAGAGGTTGACCTGGTGGGACAATCAGACGAGGAGATAGCTTAGATAACTTCTTGATTTGAGTAAGAGGGATGGGGTAACAGCAGGCTTTGGCAGTGATGTGCAAGTGAAGAGAGCAGCTTTAGACCTCATGCAACAGAGATGGCAGAGCCAGGGCAGTTAACGCAGGAAGCAACAAGTCAAAACAAGAAACTAACAAACAACCTACTCTGCAACTTTCTGAATGGCTGTGAAATGTAAGTTGTCTAGCTGTCAAGGACAGAAAAAGAGATGACACCACAATTCACATCAGTATGATGAAGCTGGATTAGACTGTAAATTGCATGACCAGGCAGGAAAAACAGAGAGAGATGCTGTAGAAGAACAAAGACTGGGACAGAGCCAACACAGGAGGTTTTAAGAAGGACATCCAAGTCAAAGCTGCTGACTAAGCACAATCTGACCAACAAACAGGACAGCAGAAGCAGAAAGGAAACTATGAGGGATACAGAGCTGGGGATGCTCAGTCATGTTGAGGCTGAAGCAACAGCTCTTTATCCATGAGGTGTCAGAGATGCAGACCAAGCTTTTTGGCAAAAGGCTACTTCTATTCTCACCCTTGTGCAAAAGGCACATCAGAAACCAAAGCCTGTTAACGCGATTGGTAGTGCAAGTAAATCCCAACCATTCTTACCCATGCAACTGTTATGGAGAAGACAGGTGGGATTTTTGGAAGAAGTGCCCATCTGTGAAACAATGGTTAGATGGAGCAGAAACACAGACTCGCAAAGCACACAAAACCCCACTTTGAAAACCCACCAATATGCTCTAGCTCGTGCTTTCCATGTTGTCACCTGAAACACTTGAAATCCTCCAAGATCCAGCAGGAGGAAAAAGTTAGAGGGCATTTAGCTTTACAATGCAGTAAACCAGCTTTTTCTCAGAGGACATGTCTATAGGATTGTCACACAAGAAATAATGAATCTCAACAAGTGGCATCGGCGTGGCATGCCAGAATACTTTAAGCAGAGGGCAAAACCTAAGAGAACCACTCCATCGATTCTGTTTTCCATAAGGCTTCATTCTATTTTGATAGACACGTACCCATGAATATCCTTGTGGGCATTTTAAAAGCTGTAATTTCAACTCTGAGGTTTTGCAAGCTTTGTTTTGTGTGGTGTATGATATCATAAACATCCTGAATATAATTACAACTGCAATTTTGTGGGCTATATTTTTCCTCTTGGTAGCCCAAAGCCAATGTTTACAAAAACTTTTCAGCACGCTTATTTGATTTGAACTTTTTATTATTATTACAAATGTATATTATTTTATTAAAAAAATTCACACTGAAGCAAAGTCAATTCCATTTCATTACAACCAAGAATATAAAATAAATGCAATGAACTCATAGTTTAGTTTTAACAGTCATTTCAAGAGTGACATCAGGACAACTTAAAAGCAGTAAACTCTCAGCTCTAGAATGAGAAACAAGTATTTTGCTTTGTGGTTTTGCTAGCCCACTGGCATGGGCACTGCCGAATGTGGCCACCACAGATCTAGAGCGGCAAAGTTTTGTGGCAGCATGAGGCGCATACACAATAATTTCTAATGAAAACTACAAAAATGAAAGATGCGTGCACGAAATTATTAGAAAAAAATAACTGAATAGAGACAGGCACACTTCCACAAATAGTAAACATGGGAAAATACAACTAGAACAATTTGAAAAGTTACTACCTTACATATATAAAAAGTTCTTTAAATTGCTGTTAAAAAGGACATGTTCTGTCCAGATTTTGTGTAATACTTTTTAGTGTCTACACAAGACAAATTTTTAAAAAAATTAAATAGTATTAATTTACTACTAAATATTTAGGAGATAACAGTGCATTAAGGACTTTTTTTTTTCATATAGTAATACACATCGCTCCTGTCTGGCGACATTTTTAGAAGATTACGTATGGCCTTATGTACAATACATTTATTTAATCCTAAAACAATTCTTTGCTTAATGGTGTTAAAGTACCATTCCTGAAGATTATGAAGGGGAACTAAGCTTATTATGTTTATATAAAATATTATACACATTTGAACACTTCTAGCTTCCCGCCACCCCTCCCGCTACAAATGCTCTTCCCTCCCCCTCCCCAGATACAGTGTCACAGATACAGTGCAGGACTCGCAGCTTTCCCTATATTTTTTCCTTCATTGTGCAGTTTGTGCTACATAAACTTCACCAATGCGGACCAGGCTGCTCATCCCATTCGTTCCCCACGCGTTTGTTTCCTCTGCGCTACGGTGGGAAAAGCTGTACTTAGCGGCCCGCTCTCCCACCGGGCGACCAGGATGGAGAAGACGGCTCTGCCGGCGTGAAACACTTTGGTGAGGGCGTAAAGGTTACGGGCAGAGACAGAGCTATGAGTACTAACGAAACTGCACGGGTAAAAAAAATAACATAAAAATGACATGGTCCTGGCTTCCCAGGACACACTGCACGATTCACTTCCGAAAGCGGAGCGTTTTTCCCTCACGGGATGACCCCTGGAAAGCAAGGCATCTTCCACCATGACTGCCGCCCAACCCGCGCAACGCGCGTCAAGCTCCCAAGAAAAGGCAAATTATTTCACCACCAGGAAGGAACTAGAAGAGTGCGCACAGCCTACGTTTCACAGCAAAGGCTTCTGCTTTTATTTGCTCTCCTCCCAGTTGTACGTTTGAAGGCAATGGAGGAAGTCAGCTCGGCTTCGCGTGTGCGCACAAACGCTAGATACGAGCGGCGTGCCGTCATCTATCAGACCTAACCAAGGCAGAAATGCCAGTTCAGCTTAGAAAGAGGTCGTGGTAGTCGCCCTAGAAGCTGTAAGCTCACTCAATTAAAGCACCTCACGTTGCTGTGAAGTTTCACACTCTACATACAGATTAATCTACACCATGATTTTGCCTTATTGGCACAAGAGCCCACCTTAATTAACCGTATGGCAATACATCTCCCTGCCACCTCCTGACATTATATGAATTTCGATGATCAGCTTGCAGGTCATAGTAGGGAGAAGAAATGTCAGATAACTATAATGGAAAAGACAAAAGGATTTTGAGAGAACAGAAGGGTGAAAAGAACAGGAGGGGACAAAAATTACTCTGCCAAAGGTTAATTTCCAGAAACGTGACATTGAAGTCACAAAAATGTAAAATAAATGTTACTTTACGGCATTGGCCAAATATCCGTTAGCTCAAAGGTACCTCATCCTAACATCAGTAAGAGGTGAGACGTTCCACTTATGGAAAGAATGTAACCCCAGACTCATTGAAATAAAATAAAGGAACAATTAAAATCTGTTCTTTCAAACAGGCTACCAGGGTATGTGTAATATGTAGCATTTCAAGGGTTACACATTGAAAGTAACCTTTGGGAGATTATTTTTCTTCAGAAATAATTTCTTCCTTCAAATTGCTTCATTTAATTTTCACCACCTTCTTACCCATTTGATGACAAAAGCAGGTTTTAGTTGCTTTTTCAGAGAAGCTGGGTGTTGTCAAAAACCACATGATGGTAGGTACAGCCAAAGCAAGCCAACTGCTTACAAAAGGTATGAAAACAACACAGGTTTGAGGAGGAAGAGGGCACTAAAGGTGATTGGGAGATCAAATCCAGTAGGAACATGTATGTGTCTAGCTGTGATGAAAAGCATTCTCCTCAGAGCAAACAGATTACTCATCTTGCTAGGTCTGATCACAACTTCAGTGTGAATGTGTACGGGTATATACAATTTTTTTTGTACGGATGCAGGACAGAAGAGAACACACTGCAGTAAAAAAAGCCTGTAACATTAAGCGTTTACATATAAACTCTTCTCACTTCACCTCTCCTCTGGACACCAGTTGTAGAAGCTTGCTGATGTTACATTGCTAGTAGCTTTCTAAATGCATTTCTCAAGGTTTTCTGCAACAAGAGCCAGCCTTATTTCTGAAGGCTGAAGGAAAAATGAAGCTGTCCCAAATTATATGTTGTGTCTCTCCAAATAACTGTGGTTGCAGAAGTTGGACAATAATCCTCTGATTATGCTTCTGAACTCTTGCTTATTTACTGGGGATTTTCTGCCAGCTACCCATCCACTTACAGTCCTTAGGCACAATCAAAACATGTTTGCTCTAGGGAAAAAGAAACATTTCAGTGCAATCAAGCGCATCTGGTGTAACTAATCTGGGTTAATCACAGCAATGTGAGGGACACAGAATATGCATTATAAACATGAAAAACGAACAATTTTCAACATGCTTTTCAAACTGCACAATAATTTCTCTTAAGTATTAATTCTAACACAAAATGATTAAATGCATTCGTTTTTGCAAGTCTTAGTATTTCTGTCACCTTTATATTCAGAAAACTGACTCAGGAATGTGAAAGAAAGCTAAATTTATAGAACTCTCACATACATTAATCAGCTGCTTAACAGAAAAACAAGCCCGCCATCCACATTCCTACTGAGACTTGAGGGCAGTAAGTACATTTTCCTGACTATTTTGGTGTCCAGCCTGGGAAGACATTCCATTCTTCTGTTCCAACAGATCCTGAAGCATCTCCTTTTTATGTGACTGTCCTGGTTTCATTTAAAATAACGCTTAATTTAAAACTAGTCAGAGCATGATCACTGTGATTTCAAGAATTCAATGTGAATGAGTTAAGAAATATCAGCAATCTTCTGTTTGGCGTTCAGTCCAGTAGCATGAAGCATATTTGTCGCTGCAGAGACTTGGGTGGTTTTTTTTTCTTTTTTCCTTTTTCCTTTTTTAAATTTTATTTCTTTTTTAAATTTTTTATTTTTAAGACCTCGCCTGAAAACTAGACTAATAAAAACAGAATAGTAAAATACTCTGGAACAGTAAAATTTTGCTGTTCTTGACATCCATGAGCAAAACAGTAATATCCTGTGAAAATAACATAGTGCTTTAAAAAGGTGCAATATACCTGTATAGCTAAACTGGCTTGCCTAGTATAAAACTAACTATATACAAGCTTGAAAGCCTGGGAGTTCAAGATTTTAAAACTTTAAAATCCCATCAAAGAGATTGAAAAGACAGATTTATGGCAATCACTACAGCATAAGGAAGGTGCACCAGGAATCCTTCAAAATTCCAAAGGTTAAAGAAGTTAAGTGCTGGGTTCAGATCAGAAGGGTTCATTAGAGTAACCACAATGGAGCACATGCAAGGGGAGAGAGGAAGGAAAACTTCACGAGAATCTCCTTTATGGCAATAAAGGGACGGGGGGCGGGAAGTCTTCAGTGAGTGAAGTTTTCCTTTTGTCATTGTGAATTTTAATTCTGCATCATAGTTTGTATTTTTGGTTCTTCTCATCGTTATGAACTTCATATTGCTGGAGTCTTCTGGCTTTTAGTCCGTTCCTTTCTGAGTACAGCCTGTTAGCCCTCTCAGTACCTGTGAGACTGGTGAGATTGGTGATACTGGGAGCTCTGCTGAGACGACGTGGAATAGCCCATTGTACTCTGGGACTGAGAAGATCCCTGAATGTTGCTTTGGTAACTCAGGCGTGAGCTGGAGTGCTGCAGGAAAAGAGAGCGGGATCAGGGGAATGAAAACCAGCCTGTTAGGACTATGCAGCTCAGGAAACTTTTAACCTCTCCGAAGCTCATTAAAATGTGACTGTTGGAGAAGCTGACTAAACAGTGTTACTGTTTAAGGTCCCATAAAAGAAGTAATCAATCTGACCTGCAATCAGCCTTAACACAGCACACAAAATACACAAGGTCACTGGCAGACACCTAAAAGTACAGCATGTACACACCCGTTTTTTGAAGGAAAACTACACAAGACATGAGAGCAGACTCCATTTCAAAATTCAGCCGTTTCTTAAAATCATGTCTATCATTCTTGTAAGTGCTATTAATGCAAAACCAAACTGCTAAGGTCACAAACACCCTTTCTGAGATAGGTATTACTAAATGTTACAGAGAAACAATTTATTCTGTTCCTGGGAAAAAAGACAACCATGGCCTAACCGTTAATCAATTTTTCTAAATGAAAAAATGTCCAGTAGGGTAAAATAATGAAATTTTAGGCTCTTTCAACCTGCTGCCTTAGCTACTGGAAGCAAGGACAACTGCTTAAAGATAGGCATGTGTATGTGCAATAAGCTAACGTTCATTTTCCTGAATGTTTTTTTTTTCCCTTCCACTGTTTGGGATGTTAGCTCAGCGGACCCCAATCTCAGCAAGCCAAATTCATGGATCATTTGTAACCTCCAGCCTGCTGAATTTGCCCTTTTATTACCATATCCATTCCCTGCCCAGAATTAATAATGAGCTGCAATAATGTAAAGCTGCAAAAAACTGCAAGCTGCAAAATCACTTTGCGTGAAAAGTACTGCTTAATGCATAGGAGACTCTCTAGCAAGGTAAACCCCACCCCAATCCACAAGAAAGGAGAGCCTACAAAAACAAACCCCTAAACTATCTGCAGTCAGCAAACAGTTTGCTTCCAGCCAAGTTAAGTACAGGGTTAGGCAGCCATTCAATAGAGTTCTGTTCACTCCCTAGTTGATGGTTCTACTTGGTTATGCCCAAGGGTCATCAGCAAGACTGTGGCCAACAGCAATCATCTGGGAAAGTGTTAAGAACCTACATTCTGATTAAATATCAGGCTTATGAGTTACAGAAAGCCTCTGGAGAAGTTTGAGTTCTGAATGGAAATCCCATGGAGACAGTGGGTCTGTGAGAACACCACATCCTCCACAGACCAAGAATCGGCTCAGTGAAGGCAATACGCCAGTCAGCGGTCTCATCGAACCATGGGATCCCAACCAGGAGAGCTGTGAAAGTCTCCCGACAACTTTTCAGCTGGATGATGGAGAGCGGGAACCTAAAGGCAGCATAAACCACTTCTGCCCTTTGTTTCTGTACATAGCTTTATACCTTTAATTTTACACAAATTGTAAAACATATTAAACCCTAAATTTATCACATTACTTTTTCTGTGTTCTCTCTAATGTAGGAATATGAAGGCTGCTTTCAAGACGAAGCACAGTGAGGATAAACAGAGAAACATAACAGTACAATCTTGCAGACCTCTGTATCTTAATATAATATCCATGTAACTAATAGTTGTACAGACTAACTTTACTTGTTTGTAAGGGTCAGTTTGGGAGATAACAGCTCAGCACACTGGCTTTGGAATGGACGTCTCCCAGCGGCACGTATGCTGTTAATAACCAGATTATACTTGGCCTGCATGGTGAGATTGTTAAGAGAGCGTCTGAAACCTGGAATTTGTCTCAAAATTCTGAAAGTTTTTGCAACTTCTAAGCAGAAAAGAAAAAGAATTGTGATAAATGCTATGACTTTATAGGAACTCATTCTGGATGAAAAGCATCAGCTCACCATGCTGAGCAAAACACCCAAGGTGACATAAGGAATGCTCAGGAAAATTCAACAAGGAATTTGCACTGTCATTTGTGGAAGTAACATATATGGAGGTTGGTGAACTTACAAAAAAAATTTCAACAGACACTTTAGATCACAAGCTCAACAAAACTCAAAAGCAAAGGGAATCTTCTTCCTACTTCTGAATAAGATATAATGGAGTAAAATTAATGCCATAAGACTACAAGAATGCATTGACTTGTTCATGCTTATTTTTGTTTCACAGAAGAGAATTTGTTTTTAACGAAGTCAGACTTGGACAAATTGCAGACATTCCTTTCCAGAACAGAAGACAGTCAGCTAGAATTTAAGGGCAGATAGCCAAACGCAAGTGTAAAAATGGATAATCAGACCATACAATTTAGCGAGTGACGTAAAGGAAACATACAGATCACCATTTTGATGTCTGTGCTTTTAAAGTTTAGAAGGAAAGAGTCGTAGGAGGTAAAAAAAAATAAATCTAACTATCTGAAAAAAACTTATATTTAGACTGCTAGCAACTTGTAAGGGGGAAGTTTGCCAACAATTCAGAGAGCTGTGTAAGGATTCTATAACGGATATCATCAAATGCAGCACACCAGTCCTCAAAATACAGACCAAAACAGGCCAGCCATAAATACTGTGTAGTCATACAGCTATAGTGATCTGTCCAGACCTCAAGCCTGTCTGGAACTTTTCAAAAAAGAAACCTAGTTGTCTTTACCCTTAAATTGCCCTCAATGCCTTCATGATAATTTGTAATTAAAAGAGTAAAACAGAAATGGGAGAAAAATGTCTGGCACTGAGAAATCAATTGTCTGTGGAGAAGGCCTGGAGGGCTAAGTCAAGGCAACTTCAGTGCTGGGTTTTTTAAAAGCTACTTATTTTAAAGCAGCCTGAAAAGACCATTCTCCAAGGTGGTATCCTCTCGAAGGCTAGTAGCAGACAGAATCCCTAACATCTTTTAAAATCTACCTTTAATACCTACCTTTTTCTTATTCTGCTTTCAACTCATTACTGTCCCAGCAAGTATAAAGTCACAAGTATTGAAGATCCTGGTTAGTTCAATGTTTTCTACATTCAGTGTAAGTCACTTTTTCAGTGGAAAATATAATTCTAATAAGCAGACAAGTATGCAAATCCAAAAATAATTCAGTGATACTGCTTTTACTTATGAATGCTACTATACTGGAAAACATGAGATCTGTTCAACTTTGGTCACATTAGAAACAACGCGTGTCTTTGTGCCCTACTTCAGCATGAATCATGCCAATGACCAAAACATCATTCCTGTGCTAACACGCATTTTTTTCTTTAACATTAGAAGTAGACTTAGCAAGATACTAGAATAAACTACAGAACCGCTCCACACATGCGATGATATGAGGCAAAATGAAGCAGGAATCAAATGAGAGAACCTGGTTGTAACTTTGCTCCTGCTTCTCAGGACCTTCTCAGACTGCTTATCACACAGGATTTAATATTGCCAAGAGCCGAGTATCCTGAACTCGATCTAATGCAGCATTTACATGCATGATATAGATCCACTGGCTTCAGTAAGATTACTCTCAAGCATAAAGTTAAGCATATATGTAAGTGCTTTCCTGGAGTGGACTAGTCCTCAACACTTTACAGGGTGCAGCAGATAGGACTCGTACTGGTATTCTGTTGAAAATTACTAACCAGAGAACAAACCCTTTTTACTTTAAACCTTCAAACCCACATTTTTATCCAATACATCGTAGCATGCCTGCTCAGGTTCCATGAGAAATTCATTAAAACACGACTTGTTCTTGCAGCGGGGAAGGGGAAAAACAACATTTTGGCCCTACAGGATCAGAAGCAGCAAAAATTGAAGTGGTACCTGATAATCTGAAGGCATGACAGGCCCGCCTGAGTTAGCGCCTGAAGGCCCTATGCGTGGTTTCTTGTTCGGAGGCACCTGGTTGAGGCTGGAGTCCTGGCTGTGCTGGAGCCCTGCGCCCGTGCCCCCTCCTCCCGCGCCAGCACCCCCGGCCGTCCCGTTGGTCTGGGTGCTGTTCTGCTGCTGCGGCTGCGGCTGCTGCGGCGCTGCCTGCGGCTGCTGCTGAGGTGCTGTTTGCTGCTGATGTTGATTCTGCTGCTGTTGATTCTAGGGGAAGAAGCGACACGACGCGGTCACTTGCCCTGAACTGGTTTGCGAGCTTTTCGGAGTTGCCAACCCCGGCGTCAGCGTTGCCTGCGGAGGTGGCGGCAGGCCCGCCTGCTCGATGGGAAAACGCAGCCAGGCTGCGTGTTGGGAGAAACGCGTCCTCGGTACACTCCTGCACGCTTTGTGGGGGTATCCCATTTGTGGTCGTTTTGGTTTTTTAACAGAGCAAGCTAGACTAAAACTGGAAGGACAGTCTAGTGCCTCCTACAGCTAGCCAGGCGCTCAGAGGGGAGGATGGAAGGAACCATTTATAAAGCAGTAATCGCCTAATGAACCGAATCAAAACTCCCAAAATTTCCCTAGTGCTCTGTGGCAGACGTGGTGAACCACAGTAAATTACTTTAAGTGCTTCAACAGCCCTGTTCACTCAGAATCAAAACCACTTTTCAAACTTTCACAAATGACACGTTACAATAACCCGAAGGACGTTGGCAGCATTACTGCCAGAAAGGTAAGCAAATTGAGACCAGAGAGATGATATAATGTCTTCCAGGTTGCGATGAAATTCTGCGGCAGAACCAGAAACAGGTTCCATTACTGTTTTGCTCTCCTGTGCTTTTAAGTACCCTGTAAAGAGTAGTATACTGGGAATATAGTCCAGCATGGTGTGCTAGGTATAGTGTCAGAAAATCTTACTGAAACAGCAGAAAAGTGAAAATTGACCAGACACAAATAGTTGAAAACAAAACAGGAGGAAACAGCTGAAGGAAGAATCTGGCAAGGGAAGGAGAAGACTAGCAAAGGAAGAGAAGCCAGACAATTAAGATGACTCTGGGACCTAGCAGCAAGAGAGACAAAGAGAAAAAGTGTCACGAAAGGGAGAAAAAAAAGTTAAGAAGGGGAACACGAGCAAAAGACATTGTACTCTTCTGGCTTCAGAGGGCTACAGACTAAAAAGAGTATCAGGGAACTGGAGGGAAGGTTAGAAAACCAGCAGAGTGCAACTCTGCCCTCCATGGTTAGACAGTTACAAGGAAAGACCGACCACCGATTTGTCTGCTTTCCAGCACTGGGGATGGCTCCTCCATCAGAGCACTAAAGCACCTAAGAGAATTACAAAGAAAAGCAATTTCGGTAGATACGTCACTTGTTCATCATGGAAAAAACCTACAATTGTCATGGCTTGAATTAAAAAGCCTTAGTACCCTTCCCCCCAGTATGCTGTATGGAACATCTCAGGACAGTCTTTTTTTTTGCTTATATAATTATCAAAGCTTTAGTATGGCAGCCTTTTATAAAAACCTCACTTAAACAGTTTCTCAGAAATCATGACAACCAGTTGCCACTAGCAGAAAATTCTTGATGCCCCCAATCACCAAAAGGCATTCAGTTACCTCAGATAAGTGACATAAAAGATCTGTATCTATGCCATTCATCACAATGGTCTCCCAAGATACATTCAGATGAAATTTGCAATGATGTATTCATTTAAGATTGCAAAGAAGCCTTGTGTCTTCAAGGACTTAGAGGTGGCTTGCATTTCCATTTCACATTTAGCAAAACCAATAATGCATCCTCCTGCTTGTAGTCCTCAAATCCCATCTCAGACAGATTCTGTTTCCCAGGAGATTAAAACTTCAATAACTTTAAAAGTTAATCAAGCTAGCTTGAAAAAAAAAAAAAAAAAAAAAAAAAAAGAATTGTTAAAAAGCAATTTATCTTTTCCATAATGGTTTGTGCTTCACTTATACAAACAAACACCAATAATTAAGGTGGTATTTGTGCTAGAATTCCAAAATCTGTGTTTTCATAGTGGCATTTGGATGCAAGTAAGGTGGTTGCTACTGTGAGAGCTGAAAAACAGCAATTTTGTTATATATAAATAAATATTGCAGGAACTCTCACAATTAAAGACAACAGTTTGTTGTAGGCCCCATGTTTCACACTTTGGATATTAGCACAAAATTCAACTCATTAGTCTGAGCTTGCTCTTCTGTGCAGCTACTACTGCTGCTGCCTGGGTAGAGACTGAGGTCCACTCCATCAGACTCCGGCTGGGGTCTAGCTGCACCACCTTAGTGCACAAAACCAGCTTACACCAGCAAAAACATTGTCCTCAGGTCAGTCTAGTTCATGGTGGCTCCTAAACGAATAAACTTGTAAAAGGTCTACAGTTAGCAACATATTACCAAGTGTCACCTCTCAGGCACAAATTAGCAAAAGGAAATTCCAGTCCTACCTAGGAGTGAACCCAGCAGAAACTTGCCTAACAGAATTTGAATGAGAGAAGAAACTTCTCACTTTGTTTTATAAACACTCATTCTAGCTTTGCTGACTAACTATTAACCATTTTGAAGAATGGATGCTTATGTTAAAGGTTATTCAATTCAGATGCGAGTTCCAAATAAACAGAGAAATCCTCTAGGTTTCCAAAGGACTATACAGATATTTATGGTTTTAAAAACAAACCAGAAACTAACACAATGGAAAAAAAAAAAATCCTTTCATTTGCAACAACATCATAAAGAAACAAAACATGGCACAGATCCAGCTTTCAGAATATCTTTTACCTTCACATTTTCTACACTGTGGGAACACATTCAATGACTAATGTGTGACTTATATTACCTAAATCGTCTGAAAAAAGTTTAATTTGAAGCGTGCATAAATACGTGACTGTCCCCAACAATCCCAAAGACCATTTATACAATGGCTCTTTTGAATATAAATATGCCATTGTCTCCCCCGCAACACTCCCAGGAAATAGACAGATATTTACTTTTAAATACACTGACATAACAAAAGCCAGAGTAATTTTAATTCATAAGGTTTGTTCTTGGTTTTGAAGTTGTGAGAGTTGAAGCAAAGCTAGTAACCAAATTACAGTCAAATCAGTATCATGACTTCCACTGTGTTTTTGCTTAGGTGCCTGTTTCATCTTTTTGAAAAAACTGCCTGGACACAAAAATCCAGGATGTTACTACTTGTTCTCAGTACAGAAGAATCTACAATATCTGTTCTGAAAACAAAATTTGCTGTCTGAAATGTATTGATAGGCATACTTTCAAACTCTGCTAGTTTCTCATGCTATGCAGAAAATCTGAAAACAGAAGATGCATGTAGTCAAATCGTTTCTCCAAAAGATTAATAGTCCTTCTCATGTAGTCCTCACATAATTACAGTTCAAGGCTGTTTTCTTCACGTTTTGCTAGCTATACATTACTGTTGCTGTCTCACTGCACACTTTTAAGTGAAAATTACAAGATGTTTCATACACTATTGCACCATTGTCCAGCCTTCACAGCATGATGGGACAATCACTGCTGTCACGTAGCACAGCTGAGCTATACACACAAAGCGGGTCAGATTATGTTGCAAACACACCAAAACTTACTATGCACGCAAACAAATTCTTGCCCGTGTCTATGGGGCTATAGGAAAGAGAGTACTCGGAGCAGATTGTCGCTACCAAAACAGTTCCCGCTCCTTATTACTCCTTTGCCTGAGGGCCCTCAAAACATGAGCAGGAAACTGTGTGCAGATGGATTAAATGTTCTGATGTAGTGCCAGAAGCAGGCTGCCACTATTTATTTGAGACCCCAACAGCCATCTACTTTCAAAGGGCTGGATGTATGCCAGTCATACAATGGAAATGCCATTCTTCTCATGTGATCACAATGTATTTTCATCATGCGATGCAGGAGGAGGTAGCAAGGTCCTCTTGGAATGACGGCAGCTGAAAGTAGGCTACTGCTGACAGAACAACCCATCCAGCTCTTTCCCCACAGGTCAGGGCAAACCGTGCTGGTGATACCACCTGAGACACCCCAAAGTCATCTGACACTTTTAATCTGTCTGGGAAGCAGTTTTAAGAGAGCCTTGCCTGGAAAACACATTTTTGGTTAACTCTTCATGTTTCATTAGTTTTCATTTGGTAGCACCATGACTCTTTCTTATTGCATACTTAAAAAAATAGAAAATAATAATAAAAAAAAAGAGTTTATTATACCTTATCCCCTTTCTCTTCAGGTTCATCTTCATTGAGGAATTCTCTTTTAGGATATGGAATCTGACAGCCAGCAAATACACTGAAACACAGTAAACACTCCACAAATATGTACATATAACATACATTTACTTAATGCTATATTAAAAACAAGTGAATATAACACAATTTAATTTCTTGTATTTCATGAGTCCTGTTTCCATAAGTGACTGGCACTGTGAGCACCCACGATAGCAGCAGATACCAGCAGCTAGGTGTTGATCACAATGTCAAATCTCTCTGCTGTTGGCATGAGGCCATCATTTAGAAATCATGGCATGGTTGAGCACGCCTGAATGCCAGAATGACCACTTGTTGATCCAGATGAACAAATGAACAAACCCAGTGTCAGAGGTTCCACAACACCTAATTGGAACATGCATGGCTTACCAAATAAAGGGCCTGATCCAAAGAGTATTAATGTCTTATCAGCCCACCTTGGCTTACAGTGGGCTTAAATGTATTTGCCAATCACAACTGCAGAGTTACTTTCAATTAGCTTCTCAGGTCTTGTCTAGAGAAAAAAAGATATCTTTTAAATTCAGCTGCTTAATGGGATTTGGAATATTCCTTAACGTTTATGGCAGAGACTTTAGCATAATGTTATTCTGTAATCCATGGGGAGCTATAGCTCTGCATAGGATAGTATCAGGTAAACACTAAATAGAAAATTACTGGTAGATCTTGACCAGTATCAATTTTAGATTGCTGTGCCAGCATTCAAAATACAATCAACGTGACATGATTTTTTAAAGTGTGTAAGCAGTTCCTAATCTAGCTGCTATGTAGTGTCTGTCTTATCCAAACAGAAAAAGAAAAAAAAAAAACAACTAGTTTCAATTAGAGTCCTTTTGCACTCCAGTGGCTGTTCTCTCCTTTTAGTGTTGCCTGCTAGCTGAAGAAGCAGTGAAAGCAAAGGTAGAATTCTCCCTGCATCCAGCTCCTACAGATCATAATGCTATGAACCACCATGAAAAAAAAAAAAAATTGGGAAGAGAAACTGGAAGAGGAAAGTCTGCCAGTAGGAATGGAATATACCATTTGAATTTTTCCTGACAATAAAATATATAGAGATATAAAACCTATACTCTCAAGCCTTCTGAACAAGGGACCTGAGGGATTTTAGGCAGTGATCGATCTCTTCACTTTTATTCTCCTCATACTGTTACCCTGTGCAAGAGGGCATGGGAAGGGGCTGTAGGTCAGAGAATTGTCCTAGTCCTAGGGAGAGGCACAATGAAACCAGGCAGTGGAGAACAGGGCTCTGTGAGGCTGTGTAAGGCAGAACAGAACAGGGCACAGATTAATTCTCTAAATACTGCAATAGTATTGTCACACTAGCTTTGGTAGTATGTTCAGAATTACAACACTAGTCTGGTACCGGGATATTGTCCATGACCACTCAGTTTTGGCACCAGCAGATACAGACACTTCACTACTGCACTAATAGTTTCTATTGAGTTACTACTTCTTGTGGATATAGGTGGATATCTGTGAATTTTTCAGCTGTCGTCTCATTTCAGGGATTAGCGTTTAGCAGAAAGAAGACACCCCTGAGGAGCACAGAAGAGGGAATACGTACTCTGATGTAGGCAGAGGATCCTCTTGAAAGTAGGGGTCCTGCAAAGCCTGCTCTGAGGTAATTCTCTTTGTAGGGTCCATAGTAAGAAGCTTCTGAAGCTGCAAAGCATAACATTAAAAATAGCAAAAAGCTTATCAAACTATCATTTTTCAAACTGTGACTTGTATGTCTTGGATTGTGGATTGTTAAATTATTTGTGGCTTGTCCAGACAAGCCTAAGTTAGCATTCCTTGTTCAGTGAAATTCCCAAGAACTAGAATGCACATCTGTCAAAGCACTATGGCTGTGAAGTACTTCTCATGTAAGAAATACAGTTAAGTGTATCAGGCCATATTAATTGCTAAGGCTGAACCACTGTGCTAAAGCAACACTAAATTCAGCTATTACAGGTTCATAAAGCACCATTTCTAAATAATGGTGTTTTGTTGTGGCACATGTATAGCTTTTATACTGTTCTGTACTGCTGATACGACAGGAAAAAAGTGTCAGAAGAGGCTGAACGTGACCAGGACTCTCCATATCACTTTAGGGATGGAAACAATAAATCTTCATTTCTCGTACTGGTGATATCCCAGAGTCAGAGCACTCTGCCACTCACACAGCTCCCAGTCCCACTCTAATTGGTATTGAAATGAGAAAGAGGAGGAGCAGACCCTGCCTAGTAACCTTTCTTCCTTGCTAGGAGGAAAGCAATATTAAAATTATTAGCTAGAATGCTATTGACTGCAGCAGGCTATAAATGAGGATTACAATATATTAGTATTATAAACCGGAAATTATAGGGATAACATATCATTTTAAATAGTTACTTATTTATCACATTCTGATAAACTCACAGTAGGAAATTTGGATGTTCAAATGACATCATACAGTATCCTGCTCTCTCACAATACTCTCTTAATTCAAGTTAACAGTGAAAATAAAATTCCTTCTGCAAAGGGCATCTTAGCTCAAACTCTATCTTCCAGGCCACCAACAAAAATTCCTGGATATTCAGCAAAAGAATGTGATTTTGGCATGCCTGTTTGGGGCTTTTTGTTCCAATAAATAAAAAAATGTGATATACAATTCTATATTCTATATATATGGTACAGTAAACAGCCTCAGTAAAAGCACTCCTCTTCAACAAAGATGATTCCCTGTTATTTCCTTTCTCAAGAGCTGTAGTTAACCCTACTTTGTAGATGAGGTCTTAAAAAATTCTCTGTACTTTTGCCACTTTCTTCCCACCTCTCCTTATTCCCGTACTTTATGGGCCATGGACCTCAACAGACTGACAGCACAACAAAGCGCCATTTGGGCTGTCCGTCCACCTATCAATTCATTTGCAACCAGCTCCTGAACTGATTCCTGATGCTTGTCCAGAAATACACCTCAATACGGTCCTGCATTTCTCACACCTGGAGAGTTTGTAAGGCACACTTATTTACTGTGGTTTATGTGGTCAGATAACCCTTAACCCTATGTTTCCTGTGTATCTTAAAAAATTCAACTTCTAATGTGCTGTTGGCTCTCTACACAGTGACCTTGCATGATACAATAAATATAGACAAGAGTTTTGGTATTCAGATCCTCCAGATGATTCCAATGTGTACCCAGTAAGTTGAGTTTAAGAAATTTTAATTATTTTTTCTTGAAGTCTCACACTTCTTATGTGAATGCTTCCCTTCCACCCACTTGGGACCAACCTATTCTGCTTCCACAGCTATTTGTGTCATCATCCAGCAGCTACTAACAAGTGAAAGAGCAATCTTTGCCAGGACCTAGAGAGGACTGCTATGCCGAATGTATAACTAGTGATGAAAACAGACCACTAGAACTCAAGCTGCACTAACAGCCTCATTACTGAGACCCCTCTTCACAGCACTAGCAAAGTCACTTTGAACTTCATTCCTAAATTTAGACAGCACTAAGTCATCACAGAGACATCCAGAAATGATGCTGTATTAGACAGAGCAACCCTGTATTCACCTACAATGAATGACTCCACTAGGTAACCAGCAAATACATGTTTAGGGTTATTGTTTGGAATCACCCACAGAACAGAAGTAGACTATTATCAGATGGAAGAAAACAGAAAAAAAATACTACAAGAAATAATTAAATTTCTCCTTTCCCCTTCCCTTTCTTCACAAAACTCTTGAGCTCTTGGGAGCTCTTCGGCTCTCTGAAACAACACGGAATCAAGGGATATATAACACTCACTATCATATTTGCAAAGCAGACCTAAGGGTAAGGCTGGGTATACAAGTGTCTTGCAGATCATAATTAGATAAGACCTTCAGCAGTTTAAGCACACCCTCAGCATGAATGTATATGAAGAAAACACATCTCAAAAATGGCCAGTTAGTGATAAATAGCTTTAACGTCGGTCTTCATTAGAATGAGACAGAAGAACAGACATGGATATTGCCATTAAAAATGCATTTCACTCCTATCATCACAGTAATTTTCAAGTTGTACCTACCAAAAGAAAAACTTTGCTGTCAGGCTTGACTTTGTGTTTCTCCATGTATTTTATGAGGCTACTATTGGCATATCTGAAAAATACAGTTAAAGAAAGACATTTCTGAAATAATACAGCATTAAGAACATGGAACTGTACCAAGTGATCACAAAAACATTTACCAGCCCTTAAAAGGTAAACTGTAAAAAGAACTGCTATAAGAAAACATGTCAGATATTTATCTAGCAGTGGCACACAAAGTGTGCTTTTCACTAACAGGAGTAGCATCAACTGTGTACAGATATTTCCACAGAACATGCAACTTTTACAGTGTATAGGTAAGCTGTTGACATGGACATATGACAGAGAAACTCAACTTGAAGTTTATACTCTAGTTTTCTAAAGCAACTCTGCCACAGAAAGCATACAGCAGTTTATAACAGCACAACAGCTGAGCTATTAACTTGCTTCCAGTTGCAATTTGGCAGAGCAGTTAGTTTACCATTCTGTCTCCCTGACCCCAACCTGCAGCAAGCCATACAGTCCTTATAGTTCCCAAGCTCAAAAATGCCCCAAATATGGATGACCTGTGCCTTGCCTTTAATCTACAGATCCAGAGGTTATCTATAGCCATGTTCAAAAGAAAGACGCTTCGTGCACAGATAAGCTTAGTATCTTGTCTAAAGCCAGCATAATGAATCCAGGCCAGAGCTGGAAACAGAATCCAAAACTCCTGAATCCATGTCCTCTGCCTTACAACAGAGTCTGTGTTGCTCCTTACACACTCTGACCTATCACCACCACTTGACTAATTCAGCCAAAGGACCAGAAAACACTAGAAGTGAAAAATTCTCAGATCTTAGATAGGCTTTGCATTACAACCTATTGAACGCATTACCTTCCATAAAAATTTTCTGTCTTTCTGTCACTACTTTACTGTCTCCACATATCTGCTGGTCAAAAGGACCAGGGAGGTGCTTCTCTATTCTTTCTCACACAAAATGAATGAAGTTATCTTGAACAGCTAATACAAGTGGTTTAAGCAAGCTCATTTGTCTGTGCTTGCCATAGATTAAATGGCAGTTATGATGACCCCTTCCAGAGAAATGAGGAGGCCACTTAGTTGATGCTTTTACCAGGCAGCTAAGGAAGAGAACACCATTCAAGCAAAAACGCTAATTCAAACAGGACAGCTGTCATAGCATTAGAACCCAAACACACCAAAATCCCCTCCCCAAAAAGTCAGAGGATAGAAGCCAATTTCTGCCTGATACATTCACTGAACTGTTGTTGCGTTACCATCACTTACGTTGTTCTCCTAAAATCTTTCTGAAGAGTTGGATATTCTGGCATCTTCCTTATGTCTTCCCAATCTTTATCTTTGGTGGGGGGGAAAAAGGAGAAGCATTTACAATTCTGAAAGTGTAGGTTAAGTAATATACAAGAAGAAATAACTAAAGCAGTTGTTTGACTTTCTGCTTGTTGGACAGTGCTATTGTTCCATAATTGTCAGCATTTCCAAATCCATCAAACTGACAGCTTCTTTGTACCTATACAATCAACTAGTCATTTCCTTTAGGAAAAAAATCAACTCAGTAGCAGTAGATCTGACACTTTAATGAAAATAAATTACCTGCAGGGAATCCCATTACACTGAAAATGCGATCTAGCTGATCATGATGAAAAGGGTTACTTGTTTTGATGTCCTCCTGGCGACAGTGAAATATAGGTTCCGAAGTCAATAGTTCAGCAAATATGCAACCAATTGCCCAAATATCTAGGAAAGAAAGAGAATAATTCATGCAAATTTACTGTACTTCATCACTCTGGTTTTTGTTTCTGCACGATTTCTCAACAAGCTGTATAACCACAGTAGGATAAAATGCCTCACAGTATAATTACATACAGTACTTTAAAAATAATGCATTAATATAATACATAAAAAAGGGTAAAATCTGGAGATACAGGTTTTTTCAATCGGAATTAGAGTCTCCAAATTCTGTTTCAAGTTGTACACTGGCAGTCCAGCACTTAACGTATTCGCAGAAACCTACACAATATTTGCCGATGACATAGCTTAAATGGCTTCAGCTGACCATCAAAACCAAACCATAAATCGCCCATAAAGATACATTGACAAAAAAATTCTATCACATATTTCAGAACAATTCCAAACAGATAATTGATAACCAAATAAATACTAAGAAGGAAAAGACTAATGACTCGTATGTTTAGCTAAATAGTGCAAGCTAGTTAAAATGGAGAAACTAGATCCTAATTTTAATCGAGTAGAAGAGTGATTACCAAACATTAATTAAAAAAAATAAAATCCTGCTTGACAACTGACTCCCATTGGAACAATACTGGAACTGTGTCATCTACATCTCGTGTATGAAAACGACAGCATGATATACTGTTGTTTTAATGAAAGAAAATAACAATCTCTATTTCATAAATTTCTCATTAATATGCTTTTCAAGATTAAATCTATTGTGGACAAGAACATTAGTTTCATTTACAGGAGAAGAAATTTCTAGATTACATGTATTCGTTCTAGTTATTACTATCATCACCCATCTTAGTGTTCTGTATGACCCAAATGCTTTATTATGCATCTTAAAATGAAAGTGTGAATTTGTCAGCAAGAAGGTTACTAGCAGAAAAGAAATGGATTTGCTACCTTGAAAAATATGTGTCTGGGAGATGACTCTGGAAAAAGATGTTGAGATCAGATGAACAATGAGCATAGATTGCTGAATACAAGAGTGTGGAGACTGGCTTAGTAGCTGAGGTTAAACTAGATAACCCTGGGAAGCCTTTTGGATTTTATCGAACTTAGTAGCATAAATATAGAAAACAATTTACCCTTAATTTATAGGTCTAAGAGATAAAAAATCACCTAACTGGAGTTTGGTTTATTAGATTCAGACTAAAGAGAACAGCAAGAGAAGTCTCTTGTTTGTTGCAACTAATCTGACTCAAAACCCCACCTGCTGCCAGTGATGGTGTTTGGCCCATGCTGCCCGAGACACACATCGTCTCCTGAAGAAAGAAAAAAAGCACTACTCTCTCTATGTAGGGAATGAAACAAGAGCCATCACATTCTTTTTGTCAAAACAGGTCCGTTCCATTTCTGTCATGCTACAGGTGTGGAGCTTGGGGTGTCCCAATTTATAAGCCTTTCCCCCTACTTTCTTTACAGGAAATTCTGATAACATTTTATTCAGGCTTTAGTTTCAACAGGGTTTAACTTGTTCTGTGCATTACATCACTTTCTCATGGTTTTATCTTCCTTTGATTTTCTCATTAGCCTCATCTGCATGAAAACAAGATCTTTAGCTCTTGAGATTTTATCTGCTCAAGCAGCTAATGCAGCATATTAATCACAATTCCTGCATGGGTAGTAGGCATAAATTACCTACTCCAGAATAGAAATTACTTACTATTTGAAGAATAGCATCTTCATTTAGCAGCATCTATTCACTCCTTTTCATACTAGATAGCAAATCCTTTTGGAGACGGTTTATCTAGAGGCCAAAGGAGTTGCAGCCCTCTTGGTTTTCACAGCTTTCTGCAGTGCTCACTGTCCATCACATAGTGAGGAAGAGGCTGGGCCACTGCTTATTATTCTATTCAACACTGCTCTATCCATATGGACCTTTTCCTTTTAAAGAAAAAAAATCTAGTATTCTTATTGACAGCAAAGCTGAATCGGGAAATCTCCTTGATGTGACACAACAAACTTCAAAACTCTGTTCCTCCTTCATCAGCTGAAATGTGTGAGAGCAGAACCACTGCGGCAACACATTCCCACTTCCTGACCCTGTGATTCATACAGAAAGCACATTTTAAACCCTTTCAGAATTCAGAAAGATAGTCATTGTACCAACTGGAAGTTACATCTGAATAAACACTGGTAAATCCCAAGCTGGTGTTGTATTTTCTACGGGATGGCATTACTGGACAAGTCAAGCATGAGAATACTTCTAGCTCTGAGCAGTCATTATAGTCTCTAGTAGTTCATAGTGCTGGGGTTCAACCCTTTAGGTCTCTCGCCAGATAATATTAGTTCTTTGAAGCTGAAGAGTAAGTAACCCAAAATACTTAGGACACAAAACCTGAAGCTTTAACTTCAGTAAGTGAAGATTAAACAGCTGGAAGAGGTCTTATAGCCATGCAGCTCAAGCAGGTCAGGGTCTTCTCTTCGTGAATCTAACTTACATGTAACCTGATCTCGAGCACATCCTTGGCACATATTGAAACCATTCTCACAGTTAATGATTTTCTGCCAAGTTTGGCTAGTCCCCCCCTGCCTTTTTTTTTTTTAAAAAACATTCATAATTTACAGTAATTATTTACCATGTGTGGCATTTTTCTGGCAGGAATGGCTCATTAAATTCTGGCAAGTTTAAAAGCTTCATCAATACAAGCAGTCCTAATCAGTATTTATCTCCTACATTGTTCATAGTAGTCAACCAAATACTAACTTCAGCTCTAACTATGGAAAAATGTGTCAACAATTAGCAATTTCCCTATCCAGTGCCACTTCATATGTTTTCAGTTTGTGGTCCCTAAAAAAGATTAATGATTATTACATCTATTCCAAAACTATTCCAAATAAGAAGTACTATCCTTCAGAAACAGGCATTTACAGGGGCAAAGCTTAAAACACATAAGCAGTATTTTTCAACTACAGTGCATTATTAATCAAGTGCACATCTGCCTCTAGCACAAGAGGAACTTATAGTACTGTATAACAATTACATAATAAATAAAATTTCTGTTTAAAAGCAACCCTCAAAAATAAGAGGCAAACTACAGACAATATCTTTTTTAACTTGTTATGTACCAGAACCACTGAAAACTGGGCCACACAGATCCTACAAGGTTGCATTGGATACTAAATGTTTTCCTATCTGATGTGCCAGGAGGATCCTAATAAATATACCAGAGTAATACAAACATTCCTATAAGGATAGTTCTGTTTCCTACATTTTCTTCTACTATCATTAGGTTTCAGAAATGATCTGTGGTAAAAGGGTTTTACTGTTTGGGTTTTTTGTTGTTGTTTGTTTTTTTAGGGTTTTTTTGTTGTTTGGTTGGTTGGTTATTTTTTTTTTTACTTTGCCCTCCAAGACTTCCAGACTCCCCACTTTCCCCAAGTTTACGCTGAACCTGAGTGCAAGTCAATTTTGCTCCCTGGCTCTGGAAAGAGGGGTGGGAGTGAAGGCCTTCGTAGCATACTCTTTTCTCTAGACCCCTCACCTAACGGTTTGCTCAGGTCCTATTCAAACCTATTCACCAGTGAAACATCCTTCCACTGTAACAGTATTTCTCAAGTACTACATAATTTTATAGAAGGAAAAAAATAGCCTTTTAAAGCTGGTCACTTTTGGTTCGTAAACAGACTTTCCATATATATGCCTGGGTGCACAGATTATTAGAATATTTGTATGGCTGTCCATGTCCCAGTTTTAAAACCTGTGACTCTTACAGCTTTACAGATCAGCTACTAAAGCTGAGAAAATCCTGCATGTCCCGCTCTACTTTAGCGCTGCAGCCAAGGAGCAAATACAAAAGGATGCTGACATAGCTGTTTTAATGATAGGGCTGATTAAGCAGACAAATGCTTATGTATTCTTTCCTTTCTATGCCACAGTAATCTCATTTCTGTATTTGTTCCAATATTTTGGAAACATTCTTTAAGAATATTACGACCATTTCAGACAATAAGACAATTTATTGAGCAATAGCCTTCATTCTCAAAAAGAAACATCTTTTCCCATGCATATTAACTAAAATGTTTCACTGAACCCAGGACACAATTCAAGATTAAATACTTAGCAATTCTTAACTATATCCAAGAAAAGAAATACATAAACAAGCTCTCAGTCTCATATAATTCTTTAATAAAATTCTGTTAAAGAAAGTAAGTCAAGAAACAGAAAACATCTATTTAGCTGCAGTCGATCTGAGGAATTCATCATTAGTGAGGTTTGGTTTAAGAGCATCGGTACTTTACCCAACCTGCTTTTTTGTTGTTGTTGTTTGTTTCAAACTAGACTCTAAGACACGTCCAAATGCTGGTAAAGGAAGTGAAGAGTGGGGGGGGGCACCAGAACACAGCTCCTCTGTGTCGACCAAGGGCTGATGCAACAACCAGGGTAACCAAAAGCTAGTTAGCAAGGCCTTAGCCCAAACAAGGCAATCCAGGTCACCTATAAGACCTACGTTTATGTAAGATTCACCAAAACTTTCAATTCCAGGCAAGAACAACAAATACACCAACAGACTGGAAAACCGAAAGGGGGCTGTGCAGGCAAACGTGTCTAATTTTTTCAAATAATTATCAATTGGTCTAAAGAGAAGGTATAACTACTTTATGAAAAATCTTGCATCTCTTATGCTGAGCACAGCAGCAGATTCTAAACTTACCTGGAATATTTACATACAGAGACCTAGGAGCATAGAGATACTATAGAAAAAGAGTTTATTAATTTTTACACTGGTTTTAAATACCTAGAAATTAGATTTAAGAGAATAATATATCCTTAAAGGGGAATTTCTCATTTCTTTGGTTCGATAAGGTGAACAGAACATACCTGTTACATACTTGTTGCTATCACACACAGACACAAAGGAAAAATCTTCCCATTCGTACATTAAGGTCTCGATTTTTATATGCTTCATTTAAACTTTAGCCAGCAAAAGAGAAGGCTGAGGAAGAAGTGGTTACTAGCCTTTTAAATTTGACACGTTCTGTGGAGAACTGAGAAT